ATGTTGTGGTGCGGAAGTTAAATAGTGCTTGCGATTGTACATACACACACGCCTATTGATAAAAGCTTGCATATAAACATATTTCTATCAGCTGTAACATGCCCATCGTTTCTTTTGCTGTCAGCAGACATAACCCTAGATTTGACATTGTCTCTTCCCTTGGTGTTCGCACACAGGTGAATACCGAACTGCATATTTACACCATATAAAGAACTAAAACCCTAAACCTAACATACCTCGATACGGCTCACACTACCGCTTCCGGTGTTGTTGACCACAATACATCCCGGTGTCACATACAAAGGCGCCAAAAGCGCCGACACCTCCGACCGCAACGCACGGGCGCGCGTCACACGTGTTTGCTCCGCCGATCCCGAAGTTCGGGACTGAGGTGTGGTATCATTGTGGTGTGATTGGGCGGTGTCTCTGGTGATCACCCGGGCCACAATACTCTCAGCCACCTCGTGACGTGTAGCTGGGGCAATGACTACAGCCATAAGGATAGAGTGATACTTCAATGCTTAGAATAATTCTACATCGTACTGTGTGGACAAGAGAAGGTGTTGCAGGCACATAACATATCATTCTGGTCGCAGACGTGATTGGGGTGTGGTATCGTTGTGGTGTTATTTGGCTCACTCGGGCGATCCCCCAGACTACGACACGCTCGGCAATCTCGTGTAGCTAAGGCGATGACGACAGCTAGAGCCGACAAGAACTCTGATAATGTTTAGAGTACTGTGGCATACATATAGGGCAAACATAGCAACGTTCTATAAACAGATAACTATGGAATTGATGTATGTGATGGAGACGAGGTATTGTAATGGATACATTGGATTGAGTAAGTGGGGCCATTCAGGATAGAACACTCTCGGCGCCCGTGCGACGTGAAGATGGGGTGTGCGCTGACACTCTAGGAAGAAACACACCAGAACACTCGGAACGTTTGCAGCATGGGACAGTCTGGTCTACGCGTTTGCAATACTGTTTCCTTTCCTCGTCTTTACACAAGTATAAGGTTTGTAT